AAGTTCCACCTGGGCACGAGGAAGAAGAACTTCCCTGGGCAGTGCCCCAGCGCTGAACAGGCTGCCCAGGGAGGGTGTGGAATCTCTGTCCCTGGAGATATTCCAGAGCCATCTCGGACACGGTCCCGTGCCGTGAGCTCCGGGATGATCCCGCCTGAGCAGGGAGGTGGGACCAGGTCCCTCCCAACCTGCCCCATCCCGTGATCCCGCCACTTCAATTATTGATTAAATCGGCGAAAAGCCGGAAACGAAACCAAGAACGCGCAAAAAAACCCGACACCGAGGAGAAACCGAAAACGGGAGAAACCGAAATCCAGCCAATTAACGCGATTAACATTTCAACGCCGCTCGGAAACGGGCGCAGAGAGCCACGCCCACCCGGCCACGCCCGCTGTGGCCACGCCCCGCTGTGGCCACGCCCCGCTGTGGCCACGCCCCTCCCCGGCCACGCCCTCCCTGTCCCTCCGAGCCACCCGTAGCGGCCGCGCGTCATCCCGGGGGCGGCACCGGGAGGTGGCACCGGCACCGGCGGGTCCGGTGAGTGCGGGGGCACCGCCAGCCCCCCTCGGAGACCCCTCGGAGACCCTTCGGGGCCGCCCCCGGCCCCTCCCGGGGCGCTCCCGGAGCCCTGGGGGAGTCCCGGGAAGGGGGAACGGGAAGCACGTGGGGGGCACCGGGAGGAGCGGAGGGACCGGGGGGGGGCCGGGGGGGCTCGGCAGAGACCCCGCAACAACCGGGGGGGTTTATTGTGTTTTAACTTTTGAGGTTGAGGGTTGATGGCGGAAAATTCGCCTTTTTTTGGGGGGGGGGCGGAGTTATCGGCGTGGTTTTTAGTTCTTTAAATTTAAATTATGGAAATCCTTATAAATTAAATGAGTGATAAAGAATGCACACACATATATATATATTTGTATGTATAAATAATATAAGTGGTAAAGAATATAGAAATATATTAATGTATAAGTAATATAAATGATAAAGAATATAGAAATATATTCATGTATAAGTAATATAAGTGATAAAGAGTGTAGAAATATATCCATGTATAAGTAATATAAGTTACAAAGAATATAGAACTATATCCATGTATAAGTAATATAAATTATAAAGAATATAGAACTATATTAATGTGTAATATAAATAATAAAGAATATAGAAATATATATTCATATATGTAAATAATAAGAATATTATAATGTATATGTTTTCATATAGAAATAGAATAAATAATATAAATAGTAAAGAATATATAAGTACATATGTTTTCATAAAGAAATCTTTTTAAATAATATAAATAATAAAGAATATA